GGTTTCAAGTAAATTAGGGGGAAAACAGACATGGAAAACAGCCCGGGATGGATGAACACTGTGCTGCCACCACCAGCAGCTGCCCCATGGATGGGTGGCCCTGCTGCCACCTCCTGCTGTCACACCCTGCCCTGGGGACATCAACCAGTGGCTTTCATGAGCGCAGGAGACTTCCCCGCACCTTCAGCCACGGCTGCGGGACAGCGAGATTCCAGGGACTGGGAAAGGGTGGGTGACCCACGCGGGTCCCTGCGTCACACCAGCAGGTTCCCAACCTGTGCACCAGGATGATTTCCAGGGCACCGACGCCATGCCCGTGTCGTTTTTCAAACAATTAAAGATAAAGAGCCCGAGCTCGGCTCGTGTTTCAGCCCTAACGCCGCTGCCAAAGATCATCGCGTCAGCGGCGCTTGTAAAACAAAGGAGATCGATAAGATTCCCACTCCGGGAAAGCAGCCCCGGCTCGGGGTTATCCCGGTGCACCGGGGCCTGCCAGCTCCTGTGGGCCCTTCCCAGGGACCTGCTGGGCTTTGTTTTTCCTTTTCCTGGGTTTTTGATTCAGCAGCTGCTTAATGGGCTTTGCTTCGTTCTTCTGCTTCCCCCGCGAATCCCAGAAAAATTGGGGGTGGAAAGGAATTTAAGATTCACCCCATTGCACCCCCTGTTGTTTTCCACTGTCCCAGGTTGCTCCAAGCCCCATCCAGCCTCACCCCGAGCCCTTCCAGGGATGGAAGGAGTGCGTTTTTCAGGGATATAACCAACCTTGATCCCACCTGGCAGAGCAGCTTTCCCTCAGGCAGGTTTCCATTCCCACTTTTCCTGCCGCTCTCCAAAGCCTTGTTTCCCTGAAAACTTTCCAGCTGCTCGATCACAGCCAATTTGCAAGGCCAAGACATTTAAAACACCCTGAGAGCAGCTGGGGATGAAAGGTGTGAGCTCCAGCAAGGTGAGAGCTCCTGGAAACTCATCCTCTGGGAGAGTTTTGGAGATAAGGCAGAGCCCGAATTCCCCCTCTGGAAGTGCCACCTGCCTTTACAAAGGAGCTGGAGTCGCACGGAGCTGAATAACTCGGGTTTTAAAAGGAAAATACTCTTTGTCAGAGGCTGAATAAAGCCCTGATTTGCCGAGGCTCTGGAGATCTTGGCTGCGGCACTCAGGGTTTCCATGACAGGGCTCTTATCAGGGCGATACCGATCAGCTCCTGGGCTCTGCCCAGCTGGCCCTTAATTAACGATGCTGACCCTCATCGGGGGACAAAGCGGAGTGACAGCGACACCCGCGAATTTCTCAGGCTCCTTCCCTCTCAAATTCGGCCCATCCCGTTACCAACACCCCCAAGGCTTCTCAGTGGCAATTCCCTTTGACCCGAACTAAATTAATTTTTTTCCTTCCTTTTTGTCTGCCACAGCTTTTATTCCCCGCTTTGCCCGGATCAAGGCGAGCCTTTTTGTTCAGACAGCTTCTGAAAGGAGTTTGTGGGGGTTTTTCCCAGCAAACCTGAGAAATCCGTTATCTCTGCGGCCCTAATGGATTCAGGGAGTTGCTCAGATCTCTGAAGGCAGAAAACTGCAGTTTTCCAGCCTCATTCCAGCTGCTCCATCCCGCTTGGAAGGCAGGTGCTGGCATCCCACTGCCTGATCTTCCCAATCCGCCCGTGACCTTTGGTGTAGGGCTCGCATTCATGGCCCAGCATTCCCAAAATGTCCCCAAAGGAGCCGTGGCCGTGTCCCCCACAGCGAGGGTGCAGCTGCTCCCCAGCTCCATCCCGCTCCTGCCAGGCTCACGTTCCACTCCCAGCTGATCAGAGCCCTCCTGGATCCCAGGAAAATGCAGTTTTCCAGCTCTTGGTGCTGCAGCAGGATGGAAACGGCTGGATCCACACGGCAGGGCCTGGGGGACTGAGTGATCCCCTTCCCACCCCCGTGGGATGTGGGAATAACATCCCAGCCAAACCCAGCCTCTCCCAGTTTAAACCCATTCCCACGTCCTGGACACTGCTGCTCTTTGGAATGCAGCCCCCAGGAACAGCTGAGGGGAGCTCAGCGCCACAGCCAGGCTGCTGCCATCCCCGTTGCTGCCATCCCCATTTCCCAGCCCCCTGGATCAAGAACAGTGCAGCCCCCAGGAACAGCTGAGGGGAGCTCAGCGCCACAGCCAGGCTGGGCTGGAGTGGTGGTGCCCGGAAAAGAGAAAAGCCATGGAAGCAGAGCCAGGGGATGATGGGAGCAGGGTGGGAGAGGTTGGAATTTTGTGCTCGTTTCTAATGAAATTCCACTTTCCACACTGGGCAGTGCGGGCAGGTGCACAAATTATCCCTGGCAGGGACCTGGCATTGAGATCTCCCATGTGCTGGAGAGCCCATCCCATCCCATCCCATCCCATCCCATCCCATCCCCACACAGGGTGAATTTCTCATTCCAGTTCCATCTCCTGGGCTCTCTCCCAGTACAAACCCGTCACCATTATGCTCAGTTAATATTTAAGCTGGGCTTAATCAAACTCCTTTTCTAATTCCCTTCCCATTTTCCCATCTACTTTTCTCGGAGTGTGGATTCTGTTGGAATCTGGGATTTATGGCAGCTGCTGACCACTCCTCTCCCCAGCTGCCATAACTCCCATTCTGCTGCCTGCAATAAAAAAATAAACAACAAACTGATATTTATTGTCTGGATTTTTCTTCCCCAAAAAAGTCAGGAAATTCTCTAAATCACAGCTCCATATTTACTGGCACAGGAGGAGCTCAGCATCCCCTGGGGCTCTCCACTGGCTTCTCCCACTCAAGATCCAACATTCCCCAGTGGAAAAAAAGCATCCCAAAACTCAGCTTCCCCCAGGAAAATCTTCATGGCCTCTCCAGGTGCCAGCAGGACCCTCACCACTGCGGTGGCCACACTGGGGTGGGAGAGAACCATTTATTTGGGGCTGAGGACTGATGAGATGAAAGCCATTGATCCCAGCTCGTAATTACATTGTTATCTCTGCCCTGGGAGATAAAGAGATCTCTCCCTGCTGGCTTTTGGGAAAGCTGGGCTCCAAAGCGGATAGAGGAGGGATTTATTTATTTGAGCTCCTCTGTTTTTTAAGTGAAATGTTAAAGAGGAAAAGCTTGGTTTATTTATTTTGGTTTTTTCCCCCAGGAGATGGGAAGCAGGGAAGGTTTCTCTCCTGCTCCTGATACCCCAGGATCAGGCAGGAGATGAGGAAATCTTCATAAAAAGGAATTTTTAATGAATTATCCCGCAGGAGGTAATCAGAAAACAGCACTGCAGGGCATGAGCTGGGTCACTGGGTGCTGCTGTGGGCTCCTGGAGCCTTGGAGAGGAGCACACTGCATTTCACAGCAGTGCAACAAGAGCCCAAGACTTTGCCAATGCCTCCATCCCGTGGCTTTTCTCCAGGGATGGTCCTGGCCCCTCTCCCAGATCAGGACCTGCCTCAGGTCCTGGCAGCTGCTAAAGGAGCTGCTGCCATCCTCATTTCCCAGCCCCCTGGATCAAGAACAAACTGGGATTGATTTCCCAACCCTGCTCCTGGCTGGCCTGGCCAGCACCAGGAGGAGAATCCAAATTTTGGTTGCTCCAAAGGTGCAAATCCCATTAGCAGACGAGGAAAGGGGCTGGGGGAACAGAGGGGTTCGGATGTGCTGAGGTGGAATTAAAGTGGGAAGGCACCTACAGAAGCAGGAGATTCAAAGGATGGTCCTGAACGAGCCCAGTTTGCAATCCAAGCACTTTCCTTCTGGAGAGACTGAGAAGAAAATGGGAGAAGAAATAGGAATTAGAGGGAATAAATATTCCTGTCTTATTCCTATGGATTTGAGCAGAATCCCTCTTTGGAATCATTTTCCATGCAGGAATTCACAACCAACCACGGCTGGCTCTGCTTCATCCACAAGCACCACAGCACCTTCATGCCAGAGAATCCTCATCCCAGCCTTCATCTGGAGCTGGGTGGTCTCTGCTGGGACCCCTTGGGTTGGATTTCTTGGCTGGGAGGTCTTGGATGGGACTGGAATTCCTCCACTGGGGTTTCTCTGCCGGGCAGGAAATGGAGAAGAGGAGGGAAGATCAATGAGAAGAACCCAACGCTGGAAAACAAAAACATCAAAAAAGAAGTTAAAGCTCAATTTTAAGCCTGCTGGGAAGGTTTTTCCAAGAGGAAGGACAAAGCCTCGACTCTTCCCTGCCGCTGAAGGTTTGAGCGGCAGGAGCGGCAGCAGCGGGGTGCGATTGCCCCAAAAATCCCCAAATTCATGGAAATACCGGGACCATCCTTCCGGCAGCTCCTCCCCGCTCCATGCCTGGAGCTCCAGTGACATCTGCTGCTGTCTCTGGGCATCGCCACCGGTCCGGCCACCGCCGCCCCCGGGCACACGAGGGGAGATGTCCCCAGGCAGGGCTGCCACCAGCCCTGCCTGGGAATCGAGCCCAGGAAAAGAAGGAAATAAAAGGAAATAAAGGGAAATAAAAGGAAATAAATGGATATAAAAGGAAATAAAAGGAAATCCTTTCTTGGTTGGAGCTGCCACCCCACGAGGGAGCGGCTCCTCCTCCCCAGACTGGGGGTGATGGAGGGAACTGGGAGGAAAAATATTCTCTCACCCCCACTCCTGCTTTTCCTCAGGGGTTCACCCCCAGGCACCAAGTGAGACGAGCCTGTGGATGGGAGGAAAAATATTCTCTCACCCCCACTCCTGCTTTTCCTCAGGGGTTTCACCCCCAGGCACCAAGTGAGGTGAGCCTGTGGACGATTTAAATCTGCATGATTTTACCCAGGATATTCCCAAACCCAGGAATCCCTGTTACCCACCCTGGGGGAACCAGGATCTCCCTTCCAGGATCTCTCTCCCAACCACCCCAAACTTCTCAACATCTCCAGCCCAACTCAATGCCAGCAGCCCAAACCCACCAGGAATTCCCAGAACCAGGCCCTTTGTCCACCCCATGAGGTTCCTGTTCCCACGGGGAATGAAAGAAGCAAAAAAATTGTAATTTTTTTTGTTCTTTTCCAATAGTCTCACTTTATTAGATACCACATCAAGAGAGGATGTTGTGCTGCATGCAGCGGAAGACTGGAGGATTTCTAATTCCTGTGTAAGGTTTTCTTTTTCTCTTTAACAGTTGTAAACTGATATTTGGCTGTAAAATCACTGCATGCGAGTCTGAATGCAAACAGCAGTAGAAGAGGCTTTTCATTTTCTTTTTTTTTTGCCTTTTTGTTTGTTTGTTTTTCACCATTCCCAATCCATAGTTGCATGCTTTATTTACAACAAAAAGAAGTCATTCAGGGCAGGAATTATAATCAGAAAAACTGAGAAGAGGGGGGGCAGAGACCAGGGCTGTGGTTTTGCACGATACTGAGGAGATTGGCAAGTTGCACTTGATTTTTGGAGGTGCAAAGAGATGATCTGAGTATCCTTTTCCCAAAGAGAGCAGGCTGAACAGAGATGGGAGTACAGGATGGGAGAAGGGTAACCTTAAGTGAGTTGTTCTGCACACAAAGGAGGCTGGGCTGCTGCAGGACTGGGAGAAATTAAGGAATTGCTTAAATAATTATTTTAAAGGTTTTTTTTACCCTCAGCCACACATTTCCACAGCACAGCTCCGTGCCCAGGTGCTGCCCTGGGTATGACCAGGAATGTTTGGGCCAGGTCCATCCCTCTGGAAGGGGTGGTGGCAGCTTGGAGTCATTAAGGTTGAGAAAGGGAGAGTCCAACCATTGCTCCTGGATCCCACAGCTCAGCACGGGATGGAGAGGGGAACAGTCCAAAAAACCAGGATTGTTTCAGTCTGCTCCTGGCCAGAGCGGCTCAGGGATGCCACACTGACCAGCACAGAGGCAAGAATTCCATGAAAAATGGGAAAATTTCCAGGTGTCCTCTTCCTTTCCACCCCAAGCCAAGCCACAAGCACCATCACATCACTTGGGGTGATGGAGGAGGATTCCCAGCCCTGGCTGGACCCTCTGGGGTGGCTTGGGTTGGCTTTTCCCACCTGGAGATCCAGGGAGGGGGGAGCCTGTGCCAGGCTGGGCCAGCCCAGCTCAGAGGGGTTTGTGTCACCCGGGGCTGGGGACACTCAGGGCACATCAGCAAGCTCTGCTGGGGGTGCGGGGAGATCAAGAAAATATCAGGAGAATGGAACTCAGCCAACTCCAAGAGGGCAGCAGCAGCAGGGGGGGCAGGGGGCCAGGGGGAGGTTTCACACCCCATGCTCAGTGTGACAAAAAAATTCCATACATTCCATAGTGCTTAGTGTGCTCCTATCCACAGGGCCTGGGGGGTTCCAGAGCCAGGGAATGGCTCCAGAGCCAGGGAATGGCTCCAGAGCCAGGGAATGGTTCCAGAGCCAGGAAATTGTTCCAGAGCCAGGGAATGGCTCCAGAGCCAGGGAATGGCTCCAGAGCCCAGCAGCAGCACCTGCAGAGTCTGTGCTCTCCTGCTGTCCAGACCAGATCCAACAGCTCCAGGCCACCCTTAAAGTGCAGGCTGAGAGTTCTTGTGCAGAAAACTGGGGAAAACGAAAGAAAACCAAACCAAAACAACCCAAGTTTGGAAGATCTCGGACTGTTCCAGCTAATTCCAGGAGCTGTGGTGGTTTGAAGCAATAATCCTTGCACACATCAGGGGGCTGGGGGGAAGCAGCAGCTCCCTCAGCTTCCCTCCCAAGGAACAGTAAATCCTCGGAAGCAGGAGGGGTCTGAGGGGACCTAGGACCCCTCCAGGGCTCGGCCAGTCACTACTACACAGCTCAGAGGTGAAGAGGAGGTAGTCACAACCCTAAAACACAGCTGGGCTCCTACAGCAGCGGAGCCCCCAAATTCCTTGGGCGGAGGAACCGCCTGCGGCGGCCGGGAACAGCACAAACCAACCCAAACCTGCTCCCCTGCGAGCACAGAGCTCCCCAAACCCTCCTTGTCGCTGTCGTGCTGTTGGTGGTGGATCTTCTCAGCAAAGGATGTGCCACAACATTGCTCAGCTGGGCCGAACCAGAGGTGAAGCTCAAGCAGGACTCGCAGGATGACGCCGGTGACACCGGATTCGGCCTGACCACGACGACACGGACACCAGGCGACGGTGACACCCACACCAAAGCCAAGGAGCTTTTTCGTTATTGCAACTGAGGTATTGAGATCACACAAGCAAGGACAGGCTGATGCTCCCAGGCCCAGCACTCCCATCTCCCTGGGGGAGACGCCGGAGCGGAGGCTGGAGGGACACGGAGCGTCAGAAACGCGACGGGAACGCTGCCACGGGGACGGGGAGAGAGAGAGGGGGAACAGTCAGGAGGGAACAGTCAGGAGGGAACTATTGCTTGCCAAAATTACACACCAGGGGAACCCGACAGCCTTCCTCCCCCAGCTGAAAATAAATAAAGGAGAATAGAAAAGATCTGGGGGAGTTTCCAGTGGAGGATGGAGGGGCTCGGAGGAGGACCCTGGGATCAGAGGCTGTAGCAAGGCATGGCTGTGCTGGAAGACGGGACACCAGGGACATCAGGGACCTACAGGGGCGTGGCAGAGGGCGGGGAGGGCCGGCCAGAGGCTCTCTTTAATCACTGGCTACGTGGTTCTCGTTCTGCAGGGTGTGCCAGCGCTCGATCTTCTTGTCCTTGTTCTTCAAACACTCGTACCAGTGTTTCAAGCGCTCGCCCTTGGCCGTGATTCCCAGCTGGCAGCCGCCTGGGAAAAGGGGAAAAGAGCAGACTTTGTATCCAGAGGTGGTGCTGATGTGCCAGGAAATCCCGCCACGGGCACACACCTCACACCCTGCAACGCTTTTTCCACCTCCTGGATCAAAAATCTAATGGAAGATTAGAAGCCTGGAGATGCTTTTCCTGCCCAAAAGACCTCCCAGGATGCTGAAATTTGGGCAGTGTGGGGGGTGCACCCTCCAGATTCCATCATCCCGCCTGGGCAGGTGACCCAGGCCCCCCTCCCATTGAGCAAACCCCAAACCAGGCAGCAAACCCCTGCCCTGAGGGCAGAATCCCCCAGCCCATCTCTCACCGATGTAGTCGTTGGATTTTCCGATGTCGTAATCCCAGACGGAAATGTCCAGGGATTTCTTGGCCAGGTCGCTGTGTTTGATGTCATAGAAGAACTCCTGCAGAAATGGGAGCGCCCACGTCACACCCCAAAGGAAAACACACCCTAAAAGCGGCAGTTAAAGGGTTGGACCTGATCTCTGCTCAGCCTGGGTTCAAAATCCAAGGAGAGGATGGTTAAATTATAATTAATGAAGGAAAAATGCTCCTCCTCTTTTCCAGGAGTCAAGCACCTACGTGAGCCCTTTCCAGCTGTCCCATCCAAGCAGCACCAGTGGAGAATTTCCAGTTTCCACCCCCAGGAATGCTCATCCCACCCACACCCCCAGCTGGGATGCAGGGAGCTTTCAGGGTGTGTGGTGCTGCCATGGCAAAGTCATTCCCAAAATATTCCCGGGCGCAGGAGTGGGAAAGGAGCTTGAGCAAAGAGCCAAACCTTGGGGAGTTTGTCTTCCACCTCCTCCACTCAACACAGTGCTCAGTGAATTGATTTAATAATATAAAAAATAGCCATCCATACCTCGTTAAACTCAGGATTCAATGTTTTCTTCTTAATCTGTGTCTTGTGCTTGGCCTTTTTGCCCATGTCAGGTTTCAGCCAACTGGGGGCAACAGAAAACAGCTCAAAATTCAAGTGCAAGAACAGTGGGAGTTTCTAAGCTTAAAAAAGTGAGCTTCTGGGCTGGAAGAGATTTATTTAAGGCCAGTCTCTCTTCCCACCTTCCAGAGGATGTGGGAAAAGTGTGGGGCTGGGGCTGTGCAGATCCAGAACTCAAATTAGAGCTGGGATTAATTAGATCTGTTAGAAGTTGATTTAAAAATATAAAGCCACCATCTTCTGTTTGTGGAAATGGAGAATACAACAAATAAAGAGAGACTGGGAAGGGAAAGTGCTCAGTTCCACTGAGCTACAAAAAGATGAACAGAATATGTTCGACATGAGAGTCACTGAATGAGCTTTAGGGAGAACAGAGGTTTTCTTCTGAAGGCAAAGGAAAAAACCAGGAGCAAAACCCCCACCAGGAGCGGCTGCAGGGATTTCTCTGTGGTGCAGCTCATGAAGTTGGAATAAAAACCTCATTCCCCCACGTTCCCAGGAGCCATGGGGGTTCATGGGGCAGCAAGCAGGGCATGGAGGGACATGGAGCCTCCTCTGTCCTGCAGCCAGGGCGGGTCAGGGGTGGAGAGAAGGACCCCCTGTCCTCCAGCTTCCACTGTCCCTGGACTCCCTTGACGAGTCACGGGTGGGAATCCCACTCCTGTGGATCCTGGGGGAGTCGGGCACCAGCCCCAAACCTGTCCCTGTGATGTTCTATGAAAATCCTTTGCTAGGATTTTTCTCCCATTCTAGCTGAGAAGCCTCAGAATAGAAATGTAAACAATAACTGATGGTGTGGAAGGTGGCCTGGAGGTTGTTTACCCACAGGTGCATCTGTCATTGGTCCATGTGAGTTGTTTCTACTTAATGACCAACCATGGTCCAGCTGTGTGGACTCTCTGAGGGTCACAGGTTTTTGTTATTCATTCCATTCCATTCCATTCCATTCCATTCCATTCCATTCCATTCCATTCCATTCCATTCCAGCTTTCTGATGGATCCTTTTTCTCTATTCTTTTAAGTATGGTTTTAGTATAGCATTTCAATATAATATCTTAATATGATAAATCAGCCTTCTGAAACATGGAGTCAAGCCTCTCATCTCTTCCCCCATCCTGGGGCCCTCGAACACAACCAACCCACCCCACACCCCCTCTTCTCTGCTTGCAGACATGAGGTGATCAGCCAAAGCTTGGACTCCTGGAGTCTTTTCCAGCCTTTAACAGCCCTGGGATTCACCACGAGGGATCTGGGCACTTGGGGAGCTCTGGGGAGCCACAGACCCAAGGGCTGGGTCAACACCACCCACAAGGAGCACACCACCACTGCTGGAGAGCTCCTGCCGTGCCAGGGCTCCAGAGGAAGGCCAGCAGGGAGCCATTCCAGCCCGGAGCCATTCCCGGAGCACTCACAGCTTGACGAAGGGATCCGAGTATCCGTTGGCGTCCATGGCCGCCAGGTGCACGCAGCGCACGATGCCCACGATGAGCCCGCCCTGCTGGGTGCTGTACATGAGGGACACCAGGATCTTCCCGCGCTCCTCCACGTCCCCGCCGCGATCCACCTGCGGGAGGAGCCGCCAGAGGTGGGCGGGGAGGAAAAACGGGAAAACTCCGCGTGTGGAGGAAAAACGGGAAAACTCCGCGTGGAGGAGGAGGGATGGGATGGATGGCAGGGAATGTTGGGGGGGATGATGGGGTTGTACACGAGGGAGGGATGGTGGAGAGGATGTGGGTGGAGCTTGTGCTGCTCTGAGGACTCACCTCCTCCTCGTACAGAGCCATCCCGCGGGATGCGCCCGTTGTTCCGGCGCGCTTCGTCTGGGATGGGAAAGGGACAAGGAGGCTGCCATGAATGACTGGGAGAGGCACCATCCCACAGCAAAACCAGCTGGGAATGCAGGCAGCCCAGCTCCGCACTCCAAAGTGGAGGGACCTCAGGAGTCTCCATCTGCTCCATCAACCCCGTCCCAGTGGATTCAACGAGGGACAGAGCAAGCTGTCCCCTCCTCCATGGTGACATCCATCCCCAGGGGCTGGCAAAGCCAACAGGAGCAGGCCCTGGAGTATCTTCCCATGGATTCCCACCATGCTCTTATCTCCTGGCCTTGGGATGTCACATCAGCCCAGGTGGGAATGTAACTCCTAAAGGTGCCAGGGAAGTCGGGCACCTCCAGCCCCTCCCTGCATCCCTCAGGTGCCATTTCCAAGGGGAACAGAAGGAATTTTCACAGACACTCACTGGTATTACTCTCTCCAGGCAGATGTTGAAGTTCTTTTTCTGGTTGGCTTTGAGTTTTTTCAAGGCAACTCTGGTTTCTCCAATAAATTCATTGTGGCCGAATTTGTCCTCGTCACACACGGAGATCCTGAAGGGGAGAGGGAAAAGGGAACATCAGCCAGGCTGGAGCAGTGCCCGACTCCAGAGCCAAACCCATCCCTGCAGGGGCACTGCTGAGGGGAGGGAAAAGCAAAACAAAACCCCCCAAACCCACTCTTGGTCTGGATTTCCTCTGAACAAAAGCCATCAAATGCCAAAGTGAAAAGGGAACATCAGTCAGGCTGGAGCAGTGCCCGACTCCAGAGCCAAACCCATCCCTGCAGGGAGGGAAAAGCAAAACAAAACCCCCACAAACCCACCCTTGATCTGGATTTCCTCTGAATAAAAGCCATCAACCCCCAAATTTCTATCTTAAAAAAAAAAAAAATTCAACATTTTTAATATTTGCTTTGTGATGGGGCAAGAAATGAAGAGGTGGAAGTTTTCTGAGGGGGGGAAGAGCCATAAACTTTAAGAGATATTTATATGGACTTTTTTTTGCTGGTTTATTGTCAAATCAGCAGAGATGCACATCTCTATGATGATAAAAATCACAGTATAATCAATAATCTACTATTAAATGACAAGGTCAAAATGCTGGTTCTCCTCTCTTCAAAGAACCATCCAAATGACCAAATTCGTGTTGATTTTAACCCAAAAGTGCATTTCTCACAGCCCTAACCCCCCTGCTGTCCTGGGGGAGGTGCTGTGAGTGAGGACCCCCACGGCCCCACCCCGTGGCACCCCTGGGCTGCTGCTGGCCTTGCCTGAGGGTTTTCCTCTGCATGTCCTCGTCGGTGATGCCGTGGTACACCAGGGTCTCGTTCCACACCGGGTTCCGTGTGTTGCGCAGCGTCTTCGTCCTCAGCTTGTTCGACTGTGGGGTCAGACAAACACGGGGGAATCGCACCCCAGGACTCCTCCCTGCCCAAATCCCAAATCCCAAATCCCTGCCCCATCACAGCTGGCACAGCTGGGTGATGGTGAGCTCCCAGGGAGCATCAAGGTGGAATTTTGCACAAGCGCCGAGTATTTGGTGGCCGGGAGAGCCTGGATTTTGTCACTCCCTGGGGTTTATTCCTTCAAGGAGAGGGGAAAAGGTGCCCAGGGCAGAATGTGGGATGTGGACGTGCTCAGGTCACACCTCTCGTGGTCAAAAAGAGGTGACAGTGGGGAATTGAGGAGCTGTCACTTGCTTGTGTGTCTTTCACAACCACACATTCAAAATTAAAAAAAAATTTAAAAAATTAGCAAATGAGAGCAGCAGAAATCTAAGCAATTCCCAACATCACACCTGGATTTCCTCCAAACAAGACCAGGTGTCCCTGTGCATAAAGCACAGCTGTAAAATCAATCCAATTACTTTATTGTCAGTTTTCCCCTGGTTTTACTCCTGGTTCCTCTGAGCAGAACTCTGCTGCACCCTCTGAGCAAAGAGCCAGCACTGCTGGTGCTCATTCCTTCCTCAAGGTTTGCCCACCCAGATCAGCTCAGCTGGGCTGGGGAGGGAGATTTCCAGCAATTTCCATGATGGAGCCAGAGTTTCCCCCACAGCTGCTCCAACAAGAACGTGCTGCAGCTCCCAAGCAAACGGATAATTCCAGCCCTGGGCATAATTAGATTTTTTGGGCAGATGTTTTGTGATGCATTAACAGCAATGCCTCCTCTGGAGCTTCCCTCCATCCCTGAGCAGATTCCTGCCTGCAGGATGAGCTGTTCCTGGGGTCTGGGAGAGCATCTGGGAGCATCAGAGACATCCCCAGGGAAAACAGAGCAAGCAGGGAAATCAACAGGGAAAATCTGATCTGAGGGAGGGACCTGAGGGGGATTTGAGAAACCTCTGCTCCATCCCCAGCACCAAACCTGGCAAAGCCTCACCTTGCTGGCTCCAGGCAGGAGGTGCAGCTTCACATAGGGATCAGCCAGCCCATTGGAATCCATTGGTTTTAAGCCCTAAAAAAGGATAAAGGAAGCACAGGATATGAATTCTCCTTCAGCAAAGACAAGGGAGAGAAAAATGTGCCCATGAAAAACGCAAAGAGAAAATGTGTTCAGTGACCCAAGAGCCTCTGCCCTGAGCAGCTGTGGGCGCCAGGATGTGCTGAACCAACCCATCCCAGGAAAAATCAGCATTGTGGAATCACAGGATGGTTTGGGTTGGAGGAAACCTCAAATATCACCAAGTTCCACTCCCTGCCACAAGCAGGGACATCTTCCACCATCCCAGGGTGCTCCAACCTGGCCTTGGGCACTTCCAGGGATGGAGCAGCCACAGTTTCTCTGGGAGGACTGTTCCAGGGCATCACCACTCCCACAGATCTCTTGGAGTCACACAAGGAAAAGCCCCACAACCCTCCCCAGCCAGGAGCAGCTGTGCCTGGAGTCTCCCAAGGGAGCAGCCTCTGCCAGCAGCCACATGGCTTCCTTCCCATTGTACCAGAGAAACTGGGAGCCAGATGGATTTAAATCAGGAAAAAGGGGGGGAAAAGAGGAGCCCTTGCCTTGGCCTTGATGAGGGTGCAGTGCAGGGAGCTGTTGTCCTGGTCGTAGAGCAGGCTGAACTCCAGAGCTCCCAGCGTGGCTGACAGAGAGGGAGGAGGAAACAACCTCGTTAAAACCCCAGCCAATAACTGCATTTAATCATCCCCGATTAGTAATAATTAGAAAGATTTGCGGGTCAAATGTAAAAGCTGTTTAATGCAGTGACACTGCGCTGGCAGCGGCCAAACCGCCGCAAATCCAGGCGGATTCGGGAGCTCTGCAGAGCTTTGCAGGGCAGGGACTGCCCAGGGAGAGCAGCCTGGGGCTCTGGAGCTGACTCCGGTATTCTCCAGGCAAAGGAGGAATAACCCTACCAACCCTTCCCATAGCAGTTCCACCCTGGACCCTGAGGAGATGCTCCAGCTCGGGGCAGCAGCTCCTGCCAAGGCTGGGATCAGCCCCTGGCTCCCGTCTTGGCTTTTTGGAAACAAGTCAGGCTCGTGCTCCTTCATCCCAGGGATGAAGAGCAGGCACAGAGGGCATCAGCTGCTCCAATCCAAGCACCGATCCCGACCCGGAGCAGCTCTTCCCACCCAGGGTGTTCTACCACAGATCCTCCCCCTCCAATCCCCGCAGGGAAGCACCATTCCCCAAGGACTTTCCCCGCTGGACACCCACCGCCTTCCAACGCGAGTCACGCCCACCCAGCAACCTCCTCCAAACCCCACATTTCCCAAAGAAACTCCCTCCCTTCCGAGGCTACATACTGCCTTCATCCGAGTCGTAGCTGTTGGCATCCTCCTCCTCCTCCTCGCGGGGCTGCTGCCGCTGCGGGGCCGCGGCTGCGGGCGGGGGCTGGGTGGCGGCGGGGGGCTGCCAGGCCGGCCTCTCCTCCCTGCCGGGGGGCACGGCAGAGCCCCCTGCCCGCTCCTCCCTGGCGGCGCCGCGGGCCGGCTCCGGGGGGCTCGCTGCGGGAGGGACCCCGTTATCCCCCGGCCCGCGCTGCCCCCGGCCCCCCGCAGCCCGCCCGGGGTTACCTTGTCTCTCCGGGAAGCGGGCGGGACCCCCGGCACCCGGCCTCGCCGCTGCGGCCGCCGGCGCTGGGGAGACAGAGGTGGGTGGCATCACCGCCTGCGACATGCCCCGGTGCCCGCTCCCACCCTGCTGAGCCGCAGCCGCTGCCCGCGGGGTGTGCCCGGGGCTCCCATCGCATCCTACCTGCGGATCCCGGGGCGCTGGCCGGCGGGGGCGGCCGCTGGCCCTGCACGGAGCTGGTTCTCTTCACACCTGCAAGGAGCGGGGGACAGTCACAGAGAGCACCCGGCTTTGTGTCCCCCCATCTGTCCGTGCCGGGATGCGGGAGCAGCGCCGCGCTCACCGGGGCTCCGGCTGGCCCCGCTCTCCGCAGCGTGGTCGCGGCTGTCGCTGTCCCCAGCGCTGTCCTCGCTGCCGCACGGACCCGGCCGGCCCTCGGCCGCTTTGCGGCTCCCCCGGGCGGCCGCTGTGCCGTCGGTGCCTGCAGGGAGAGGGAGAAAGGAGCAGTGAGGCTGGAGAGGCGAGCTGCCGTCCCCGGCCTGGGTGCCAGCAGCGGGGGGACAATGGCGCGGCCACTGCAGCAGCACCTGCGAGCTCCGGGCACTGCGGCAGGAGGGCTCTGCACCGTCAAACCTGCTCAGGAAATCCCCAAGGACACACGAGTCCTATGGGAAAACGAGGCCTGAGGTATCCATCTCCTGGTCCTCAGCACCCTTCAGACCCCTGATGGCACCACAGCTCCACATTCCTGGGGTTGGGAGGGGGGATCCTATTTTCCTTCTGCTGATCATCTCCCATTTATTAGGGAGACAGCCGTGGCAGCTGCCTCTGCCTCTCCTTCCATCACCCAGCGGATAAATCCCAGCCCAGCGCTCCGGGGTGATGAATTGCGACCCCACGGACGTGACGGGAAAGGTCTCGGCGCTCACCTGGCTGCTGCTGGAGACGCCAGGGATAAATCTTTGCCGTGACATAAATGGGCTGTTTCTCCTTGGCTGGGCTCTCAGGGTCACCGGGCGCGAGGACAAAGCGGAACTCAACAGATTGGGGGGGGGAAAGGAGGAGGGAGAGAGGGAAAAACACCGGGAATGCTGAAGAGCAGGGAGCAGGGAAATGAGCATCCAGGAGCAGGAGCCCCGTGGTGCAGAGAGAGCCGTGCAATAAATAATTTTCCAAGGGAGCTGTAGGAAAATCGTGGGCACGGCAGGAGCATGCTGAGCACCGGCAGGGACGTGCGGAGCTGGCAAAGCCTTCCCGACTCCAGGAGCCCTGGATTAATAAAAGCTGCCCGTGGGGCTGGGAGGTTTAACGGCACGGTGATTAAATTGCCTTAATTAAGTGCTTTCCCCGACTGCTGCTGCACGGGAAGAGGGAGATCATCAGCTGGGGGCATCAGAACCTGGGCTAAAGGAAGGGTGGGATGGAGGGGACCATTCCAGGCGGGATCTGTCTCCCCAGTCCCTCTTTGCCTCTTCCACGGAGCCAAGGAAGAGGAGGGTTTGCAGCCACTGCGCTGCTCCCAACTTAATGATCACCCAAATGAGGAGCAGACAGTGTTGGAGGAGGATCAGGGATCCTCATCCCCTTGGCATCCCATGTGGAAGTGTGAAACTGGGGGCTGTTACCCAAAATGAACTCCCAGGGAGACCCCCTCACTCTCCACATCTCCCTGGCAGGAGCCACGCGGGGGTCGGGCTCTTCTCCCAGGCAAGAAGCAACAGGACAAGAGGAAATGGCCTGAAGTAATGCCTGGGGAGGTTTAGGTTGGATATTAGGGAAAATTTCTTCACTGGAAGGATTGTCCAGCTCTGACACAGCAGCCCAGGAGTCCCCATCCCTGCGGGTGGATTTAACAGCAAGCGTGGATGTGACCCTTGGGGACCTGGGTCAGTGTGGCCTTGGCAGTGCTGGAGGAATGGTTGAACTCCATGGGCTTTGAGGGCTCTTCCAAACTGAATGATTCCACCACGGGAAGTGCCGGAGGGTGCAAGGAATAACCAGAACAAGCCACTGCTGCATCCTCACCCTGCTCTGCCTCCCGCGCACCGCGCAAGGCTGGGCTGCTCCATCCCCCACAGACCTGCACAAGCCCCCACAAGCCTCCTAAACTTTCCCCGGGAGGTTTTCCAAGGATTTCTGGTTAAATAACCAGGGAAAAAAAACCCCAAAAACACTTGCCCCTCCCAGCAGAGCCAGCACCCACGGAGGCGGCTCGGGAACGGCGTGTGCGGGAGGTGGGGAAGCCCTGGAATAACCCGGGCCCCCCGCAGGGTGGGCGGCAGCAGCAAGGAGAGATCCTGCCGCAGCATCCCGGGGGGGAACTGGGTGGGAAAACGCCTTGGGAAGAGGAGGAGGCAGCAGGGACAGGGCTCGGCACAGGGAGGGGACAGAGGCCGGTGCTTACCCTCGGTGTCCTCAGCATCCGCCTGGCCTTGGGGGCACAAACAGAGCGAGAGGGGGTGAAGCTGTGGCCCACGCACCCCCAACCCCATCCCGGGACGTGCTGCCACTGTTTCCCACAATTTCCCTATTTTATCCTTATTTTTTCAAGCCTTCCCCATCCCCACGTCCCAAACCCTCAGCCGGGCCCTGATCCCCTTTGTTCGAGGGTGTCCTGCAAGCCCACCCAGCCCCACCTGGAAATCCTGGATAAAACCTCCATTGCTACCCCCTCTAGCACACGGGCAGCAGCCCACGACTGCTCCGGATGCTTTTTCCCCAGAATTTTCCCTTGCTGAGGATGGGAAGGAGCCCAGAACCTCGATGGCAGTGCTGGGGGACAGCCCTCGCTGTCACCTACCTCGGGTGGGTGCCCTGGAGGGGATTTTGGGGTCCGGGGCGGGTGGCTCGGCCGGGCGGGGCTCGCTCGGGGTTTGGGGTCCCTTCTTGCTGACGGGCATCTGCTGTGGCAGCATCTGCTTGGGCAAACCCTTGAAGAACCAGGCACCGGAGCGTTTCCACACCTGTGGGAGCAGGGTGGGGCCTCTCAGGGCTTCACGCCACCCTGGGCTTCCTCCAGAGACCCCACATCCCCACCCTGCAGCCCATCCCGCTAATTAATTAATCAATTAACTCCCCAGCTCATGCCGCAGCAGCCAATCTCTGCCCACAGCAGCCCCTTGGAGCCCCAAACCTCTGTTTTCATGAAATAAAAGCTCATTTTGTGTAGAAAACAAAACCATCCTGTAAGAACCACGCTCAAACAACCGCTGGGCGAGGCTGGGTGGTGCTGGAGGCTCCTGGGAGGTTGAGTTGGTCAGTCTCAGAGGTCTGGGGTGGGGACAGAGGGGACAGAGGGGACAGGGGCCACACGCACCTCCCGCTGCTCGCTGCAGATCTTGCAGAGCCAGATGGCCTGGGGCCGGTTGTTGGTGGTCTGCACCCCACACTTGGTGCACACGTTCTGAGGGCAAAACAAAGATCTGAGTGACACCGGTGCCACCAAAATGTCCCCAACACCTCAACGAGAGCTTTTCCTGCACGACCACCAGTGACCCCGGGGGTGCCGGGCTATGGAAACAGGCAACCAAAATCCACAGTGCCCCCGGGCTGGGGGGTTTTTGGGGCTCGGGGGTGTTGTCTCACCTTCGGGGGGGTCTCACCTTCTTGCAGTCCTCGCAGACGACGCAGGCGGAGCCCCTGGTCCCCAGCTGCTCCCCGCAGAGGATGCAGCGGTTGACGCCGTCCCCCAGCACGCTGCGGCGCATGTCCTCCAGCCGGGTCATCAGGCGCCTGCCACAGGGCACAGGGACGTCAGCAAGGGCACAGGGAATGCCAGGAAAAGGGCAGGACACGGGGCAGGCCCCGCTCCCGGGGCAGCCAATGCCTTGGGTCTGGCTGTTCCTTTTCCAGGTGTCGCTCCCCACGGAGCCTCTCCCCTTCCAGCTACAGGACAAAAGCACATCCCAGCAGGAAATAAGATTCCAACAGGTTCATATGGCACAATATCGACTTCCAGGGATGCTGCCAGAGAGGTGGCACCAGCCCCAGCTCCGTGGACGTGGAAAATCCATCCAAGGCAGCAGCTTTGCATGGTGCAACTTGTCCCTAAATAGAAACATTTCCACCCAGTCCCGGCAGCTGATCATGAAGAGCTGAAGGAGGAGAGCCTGGAAGGCCTCTAATGAGGATTGGGTTAATTCATTAATTAATTTTGTTATTATTTGAGGAAAAATAATATACAAATGTGTATATTTGATGGAAATTCTTGCATTGGCATGAAAGCCCACTGGAGGTCAGGCTGTGAAAACACACCTGGTTCCTGCAAAGGTAAATAAAAAGTCAAAAACCAAAACCAGCTGAGGAAGTTTTGGAAAGGCAGCATGGGCTGAAGGAGTTTGGAAGGGAGGAAGGAGCTGCGAGCAGCCGGGAGCTGGCGTCGGCGTCGTGCGCTCAGCTAACCCAGAATCCTGGCCCTAAAAATAGCACAGCAAGGGAAAAAAACTGCATTATTTATGTCATTCAGTGAGGAAGGAATGAAGAAAGGGAGGAGGAGACCCGAGCCCACCGGAGGGAGCAGCCCCCTGTGGCAGCCTGACCCAAATCTGACGGAGCCGCGGCGGAAAAAAACGCCGGGTGTTGGAAAGGCTTTTCCCACGAGGGGTGACAGCTTCACATTCGTGGTGACTCGGCTGCCAGGGCCTCTGAAATGCTCATAAACCATCCACAGGTTCCCTGCACACACCCTGTGTGTTGGACAGCCAGAATTCCATGGGCTCCGTGGGGAAAAGTTGAATAAAAGAACGAACAGCAGCACGAGGAGGGGAAATTTTACGAGCATGGCATGGTTTTGGTTTGGAGGAACCTTAAAATCATCCAGTTCCACCCCTGCCATGGGCAGGGACACCTCCCACTAGACCAGGCTGGCCTTGGACTCTTCCAGGGATGGGCAACCTGTGCCAGGGCCTCGCCACCCTCCCAGGGAGGAATTTCTTCCCAAAATGAAGCATTTTAGGACATGACAGCCCAAAAAGGTTTCACTGCAGTCCACAGGGACATCTCAAAGCCACCAACCCCAGCCACGCTCAGGCATGTGGATCCATAACTCCAAAAATGATCCAAGCAAAGCCACGTTAACAGCTCAGCTGTGCCAAAACCCAGCCAGGAATCTCCCACTGCTCCCCACGCGGGGCCGATCCCGCTGGAGCCGCCTCCTGCCACTTCCAGATGAACCCGCAGCCTGCTCCCAGCTGGAAGCTGGGCTGGGTGGGCAGCAGCGGAGCCAGACAGAGCCAGCAGTGGGCACAAGGCTCTGTTTTCACAGCTCTGGTGTCACCAGACAGCAGATGGGAGAGATCACGAGTTCCCGCCAGCCCCGGGGGCTCGAAATGCAGCAATCCTGGTTCTCATCCTGGTGCTGACAAACAGCACCCTCAGAACACAGCCAGGGGATTTGTGCTTTCCCACCGCAGGGAGAAGCTCCCTGCTCCAGTGTGGGATGGGGCTTGGAGCAGCCTGGGCGGGTGGAAAGTGTCCCTGCCCGTGGAATGAGAGGAGATTTGAGATCCTTCCAACCCAAACCATGCTGGGGTTCACTTGAGAGGTGCCGTGGTCCATCCCTGCCCTTCCCATCCACAGGTGGTTCCTCCCTGGAGAATCACCCAGCTCTGGAGCCACCACCCACCCCCGGTGCCTTCCCAAGCTCCAGAGCCTGTGGCAAACACAGAAATCCCAGAGACCCCAGCAGAGCTGCACCACCCCACAAACACCCAGCCAGCAATTCCAATCAAAACCTGGATCCTGGCTGCTCCCCAAGCGCTGTTTAAAAGCAATTAACCCCAGCCCACATCCCATGGAATGCATGATCCCCACAACAGCCAGATTTTATCAACACCCACCTCACCAAGGGGGAACATTTTGGGGGAAAAAACCTCTCTTTTGTTCATGGACAAACCCCATATCCCCTGCAGTTCCTCCCTCTGAGCTGCAGGAGCTCCGAGCAAAGCAGCTTCCAGTTGGAAATCTGCAAGCCCAAACAAACTTATTATAGAAACTGGAACAAATGGCACAATCAAAGGGAGGGAGAAAAAAAAAAAAAGGCAAAAAAGAGGAAAAAGCCTTTGCATTTCAAGAGATTCATTATTTAGCTGCAAAAATCTCTGCCAGGCTCTCATTTACCACGAGCTGCTCCTTAAGTGGGATTTTTGAGCTGCTGGAGGAGCTCAGCAGCCAGGACACACCTGTGGCACCACTTGCAAGCCAAGTACATTTCCCTAATTAAAACATCCATTCAAGAGGGAGAAATTGGGCTCTTTTTTTATTTTTTTTTTTCTCCCCATGACTCAAACGCTGCTGGGAGAGAACTGTAGAAAAAAATTCAATTTAAAGTCCTGGTGTGAACCTGGCAGGAAGAAAGGGGGGGTTGTGCCCAGACCCCTGGGCTGAGAAGCTCCTGATAAAGGCAACAACTGGGAGGAAAAAAAAGCACCCAGGTTTGTTTCCAGCTCCATCCAGCATCTCCAGAGATCCAAATCCATCCCATTCTCCCATTAATAACCAAGGGAAGCCCTGCCCTCACCAGGAATGAGATTTCTGCCTTCCCAAAAGCTTTTCTCTCCACTGGAGATCATTTCCTCCTCACTTTCATTGCACACAACCTGCCTCCAGCTCATCCCTCTGCCTTCCACGGCTCCAGCAGCACCTTCCTCCCCATGATCTGCACTTCAACTCCCCAGGAAATATCCTCCCAATTGTTAAAAAAATCAGCCCAGCCCCAGGAATGGGGTTTGGGAGGGGGAAGTGGGCAGTGGGGACATCCCTGGAGCACATCCAAACATTCCCCGTGGTCCATGGCAGGAAAAGGATCCCACAGGGATGGGGGATCCCTCAGTCCTGGGTGGGACAGAGCCTGTGGTGGCTCTGGCAGAGCTGGGTTTAGGCTTGGATTCCGTGGCTTTGAAGCCTTTCCCAACCTAAATGAGGATTCCATGGAATTCTCAGCATTGCAGCAGGAGAAGAGGGGTGGGAAGAGGGACAGAGCGACCAGAATGAAGCGCTGATGATCCCAGGAAATGAGGCTTAACAACAGAGCAGGGGTTTGCTGTGTTTAAATATTCATCAGCACTGCAGAAATGAATGGCCAAGGTGTCCTTAATGAGCTTTAAATTGTGGCAGGGAGGATTTTTAATGCAGCAAAAAGGGTGGGAAAAGGACCTGATCCATGGGGAAGGACCTGATCCATGGGGAAGGATCTGATCCAGGCCACCATGATCCACGTGCTCCTCAGGGCCTTGCAGGAAGCAGCAGGGCTCAGCCACCACATCCATGGCGAAAAAATTCCAGTGCAACACAAAGGAGGTCACCAAGAGCCTCCAGAATGAAGCCCAGCCTCATCTCCATGGGGAAATCGTTTGCCTTAAAGGGATGAATATTAAATTAAAGCTCATTTTCCTGGTGGAAAAGGGACAAGAAAAGCAGCCAAGCTCCAGATTAAGGGAAACATAATAAAAATTGGGATGAGAAATGAGAAGCAATTTTCCTCCCCTCCAAGTGGGCAGGGAGCTAAAGGTAAAGCACCACTGGGGCTTTTCCAGGCTGAGCCCTCACCCACAGAAGGGAGACCCACAGAGTTTTTCCAAAAATCCCATCCCATGCTCATCCAGGGGCTTGCTGAATGTGCTACAGCAGGCTGGGAATTTTTGCAGTCTTGGAAATAAGAGAGGATGGGTTTTTTGGAGGGGAAAGCTCAACCAAACCCCCCCAAAATCTCCAGCAGCACAAGCTGTCCCCTGGTCACCACTGAACCTCATCTCCTCCAGAAATTGGCACCCCAGGAGAGGCTCCCAGTGTCTCCAGTAACCTCCCTGCCCTGCCCTGAGCCTGAGTTTTACCTCTGTGCTGTCTGCACACAGGGATGAAGATGGCAGGCTGTGGTCCCCAGACAGCTCCCCTGCCACTGAGGTTAATGATTTAATCCCCAGGGACTTCCATCTGCCCCTGCGTTATCCCTGTGCCATGAGCAGCCCGGTTAAATGAAAATCCAATCCTGCTGCTCCTCTTGGAGCCAAGGTGGGAGCCAGGGGGACACAGCCAGGCCACTGCACGTCCAGAGGGGACCACAGGGCCACGGCCAGAGCCAGCAGCCAGCTGTCACCTTCCCTCTGGGAGAGCCAGCTCCGTGCTCTCCAGAAATACCCACTGCCACCTCGGGATGGTTTCAGAGCTTCCCTCAGTGCCAGGAGCTGCTGGAGCTCATTAGGCAGTGAGCAGCCCGGCTGGGTTATTGATGGCCCCCAATTAGAGAGGCAGAATTAGTCAATTAGTGCCTGCAGGTGCTCCTGTGGCAGCTGGAGAACTGGATCCTCGTGGATTGCAGCTGGAGAGTGCCACCAAAGTGCCACCAGAGCCACCGCAGAGCCCCCCAAGCACAGACAAGAACGGATCCACCCCTGCCCACGTGGATGATCCCTTTTCCCCAAAACTTCCAGCCCCGTGTCCCTCACCCCACAGGAAGACCCCGATCACCCAGCAGCTCCTGCTGTGTCATGCTCAGGACGGTTCCAGCTCCTCCCGTCCTTCTCCGAGCCACGAGACACAAAAATCCCCCCCACGCCAAGCGTCCCTGTCCTCCAGGCCTCATCAGCACCCAGCTCACGCATCCCACGGGATCCATCCACCCTCAGAGCTAAAAATACTCCCTCACAGGATTAGTCTGAGCTGGGTTTGACACCAAGTCCAACTCCACAAACAACAGCTCGACAGGAGGCATCGATTTGTTCCCGAGACAAGGGGCTGGTGGGGTGGAGGGTACAGGAGATGGAGGGCAAAAAATTGGGGAGGGTTTGAGGCACGAGGAGGTTCATCCACAGCCCTGGTTGTGGGATTCAGGATTCCTCAAGGATTGGGTGTAAAGCTCAAATGAATCCCTCAAACACCTCCACTTATTGAGGCAAATCCAAGTATTCACCACATATTCCCCCTCTGGAATCTCACTCCGTGTGAGCTATTCCTTATATTAACCAAAACCAGTGTTTTCATGGAAAAATGGAATGGTTTGGGTTGGAAAGGACCCCTGCCACGTGCAGGGACACCTTCCACTATCCCAGGTTGCTGGACACTTCCAGGAATGGGGCTTCTCTGGGTGAGTTTTAATGGATTCATTTTTCCCTTTACAGGAATAGAAAAACCCCAGGAAATCCCAGAAAATCGGGCTTTCCATGAGCAGCTCCCTAAAGATCCCGGCCAGCCGAGGGCCAGCCACACCATCACAGCCTCCCTGCCAGAGCCAGCCTGGCAAACCCGGATTATTTCTGATAATATATTTATTATAACGGAGCGAGCTATCCCGGATAACACCCGAGCCTCTCCCGAACGGATGATTCCCGACTCCCTGCGAGGCTGATCCAGCCGCTGTCCCACATTCCCGGGGCTGAAAATCCTACAGCTCTTGTTGTGCAAGCCAACAAACACAAAGGGGCTGGCACGGCTCCCGCTACGCCTCCTCCTCCTCCTCCTCCTCGCAGGAGGGGAATCAGCTGCGGCTGCACATCCGCCAGAATTCCCGGCTCCCAGCCCCTCCGCCCGGCTTTTCATGAATGAGGATGAGCAAACCTCCCCCGGCTCGCCAAAGGGAAGGGCTGGAAAACAGCTGTACAAAAAAAACCTCTCCCCAGGATGATTTAGCGCTCATCCAAGGAATTCTTACCGGGCTGGGGAAGGGGAGCGCCGGGGAAAGCTGTTTGTGAGCTCTTCCTGGGCGTGAATCACCCGCTCAGAGAGAGCAGCTCCCACCTGGCTTCTGCCAAAGAGCCGAGAAGGGGTGCAAAGTGATGCCCAGCCCCAGGGGACAGCACATCCACGGGGAAGGAGCGAGCCCAGCCAGGGAGAACAGCCCCTGGAGAGGCAAAACCTTCCCAGGATGTTCAAATCCTAAGCAAGGATTGCTGGAAAATGAGGAAATAAATTTTCTCCACAGCCAGAGCAGCCTAATTTTTAAGGGACAGCAAATTGTCCATGAGCTGTGAGAGGGAATGTGGCACTTCCCAAAGCAGTGGAGAGTGTGGCTCCTGCCGGGGTCTGAGTGTTTTCCCTGCTGGGAAAAGAAAAAAGGAGCAGTGGATGCTTAAACTCAGTGAGAAGAAAGTGCTCCTCTGTCAGAAAAACAGGATTATGGAGATTCCAACGGGATCATGGAGATTCCCTCTGGAAAACCATTCCCAGCAGAGGAAGGGGATGGATACCTCGCCCTTAGCTCGTTTCACCTGGCAGGAAAGGAAACACGGGCACTGGGAATGCCCCTGGTGAAAAATGAGGCACCAGTGGTGCTGGGGACCCCAGGACCCAGAACAGAAAAATCCCAGAAAATCAGGATTTCCACGAGCAGCTCCCTGAAGCAGCCTGGCCAGCTGAGGGCCAGCCACACCATCACTGCCTCCCTGGCAGAGCCAGCCTGGCAAACCCGAGCATCACAGCCCTGGGGCAGCATCACTCAGCCCTCCTGAGCCTCACCCAGAGCAGGATTCACCCATCCCACAACAGCACCAAACCATGCCCTGGCTCAGCGCTGCCGATGTGACAAGTGCTGCCAATGATCCCTTTTCCACTGAAAAAAAAACCCCGGGATGAGAGCAGAAGGCTGCAGCCCCCCGAGGCTCCCGGAGCCGCTCCCTCCCAGGTTCCTCCTGGCCGGGGCCCAAAGATCCCCGCAGGCTCCTTCCAGGAGCAGCACCGCAGTGCAGAGGCTGCTGCCCAGGAAAGCAGCCAAGCAGAGCCTCCTGCGCGGCCCCGGGGTCCCTCTGTCCCCGCTGTGTCCCCGCTGTGTCCCTCGGTGTCACAGCCCGCCTTACCCGATGCGCTCCTGCTCCATCTCCTCCATCTTCTCGGCGCGGGCGATCACCCGGTTGATGATTTCCTTCTCCTCATCCGTCAGCTCCTCGCCCTTGCGCTGCCGCTCGGGCTGTGCCGCCCACCCCGCCACTGACCTGCGGGGACAGCGGGGACAGCAGGGACAGGGAGGTGGCCACGGGTCCATCCCCAGCCCGGCTGTGCCCAGGCACCGACCCAAACCCCAACCCAGCCCTCCTTCCCATTCTCCAGACCCCAAACCCAGCCCGCCTCCCCAGACCCCAAACCCAGCCCATCTCTCCATCCTCCAAACCCCAAACACAGCCCACTTCCCCATCTTCCAGACCCCAAACCCAGCCCATGTCCCCAGACCCCAAACTCAGCCCACCTTCCCAGACCCCAAACCCATCCCACTTCCCCATCCTCCAGACCCCAAATCCAGTCCACCTCCCCATCCTCCAAACCCAGCCTATCTCCTCATCCTCCAGACCCCATCCAGCCTGCAATGAGCCCCCACCCTTGGCTGGGAGCTCTGATCTCCCTTTTTAGGGGGTTTCATGTGGGAATATTGGTTTCATTCAGAGGGAGAACTCCTTTTCAGAACCATTCCCATTATTCACACGTTTCCTTTGGCACCCTGGAGCTCCAGGTCTGCCTGGCAGCCACGGGACCGGGGTGGTGGCGCAGGAGTGGGTGGCTTTTTTTTGGGAACATTTCTCCAGACATGGGAGTGTTTGTCCCTCTAACATCGTTCCCAAAGATCCTCTCTCCCAGCCTGGGTGTCAGGCAGTGCTAACCTGGTGACAGGGTAACGTCTGCCACTCAGGGGTGCAAAAGGCAAACATTCCTCACCTTCCTGCTCATCCAAAGACCTTTCCTGGCTCTTTTCCCCTCTGGATTAACAGACCCACATGGCTTTGAGCCTTAAGTTCGTTAAAACCCTGTGTGACACTTCCCAAACTTAATTTTTTTTGCATCAAAACCCAGTTTTTTTTCCTGTTCCCAGACCATCAAAGCAGCAGGAAAAGAGGACTAAGTGAAAAATAAAAGATACTCACTGCTCCTTCTCACTGCTGGGAAGCACAGGGAAAGAGGGAATGAGGATCAGGAGAGAGCAGGGATGAGGAGAGCCCAGCCAGTGACACCTCCCCCCTCAGGGTGACAGTCCCCAACTCCTGGTCCCTCCCCATGGAAAGAGCAACTCCAAACCTCCAGGCACCAAACCCAGCCCCAATCCAGGCTGGAGACGTGCTCCAGAGTGGCATCACAGTGACAGGACACAGGGACAGCCCCAGGTCCCTGCACACTCTGTCCCCACCACGTGGCTCAGGGCGTTGAGGAGCAAACCCAGCAAAACGTCCCCGTGCAACAGCACCGAAGCAACTCCCGGTGTCCCCGCGGGGAACAGCGGTGTCCCCAGCCACGCCGGGGCCGTGCCTGTGCCCTGCTGTCACCTGGCTCGGAGGGACATGGTCCTGTCACTGGGGCACATCCACGGGTCCGAGGAGCCGCCCAGCACCGCGTCGGTCATCGCCCGCCGAGGGGCACCAGGCTGGGGACACCAGAGCCCCTCGGGGTGTCACCAGCCTGGCACGGCAGGGACTTCAGCCGCTCTGCTCCCAGGTGCCCGTGAAGAAGTGGAGATTCCAGCCAGGCTGTAGGGGAAAAAAAAAAAAAAATCCCTAAAAGTCACGCTGGGAAAGGATTTGTTCGGGGGATTAAGAGGGTTTGGAGCAGGAATGTCACTTTGGTCTGGATCTTGAGACACAGGAGCCTCCAGTCACCTCCTTCCCAGGAGGGCAGCACAGCCTGGATGTAATTAATGAAGCCCCAACCTCACATTAATTATGAGGCTTCAGAGGCAGGAGGGAAGAGGGGGGTCCATTCCAGAGAAACAGCTGCGAACAAGGAAACTTTCTCCCCAAATTCCAGCACGCCTCACTGTCCTTTCCCACACCACATTCCCTCTGGGAAAAAAAACAAAACAAAACCAAAGACCTCCTCCTTTCCCATTTTGGTTTACTGAATTTTTACCAAGTGGATCCAGGAGGGAAAACAGAGCACCAGGACTAAACAGGGGGATCTGTCCCCTCCTCTCCAAAGGTTCATCCACAGAGGGTTCTTCAAACCCTTCTCCTTAAAATACCAATGGATGCCAAATCCACAGCCTGATTGTTGCTTTATTCCCATTTCTTGAGGGGTTTTGCCCCTCCACCCACTGCTCCTACTCAGTGCAGGGGGATGGGGATGATCCATCACCTCATCTGAGGGAAAAGCAGGGATTTGATAGATTTGCCTGCAGCAGAGCTAAAAAATTCACAAAAAATGCCTCTGCAGAGTCCAGCCATGGACAAGCAGGCTGCTCCCAGCCCATGGGTCATTCACCTCCCCATCCTGCTGCCCTGGGATGACGCTGCCTTGGATTTCCTCCCTGCCTGGAAGGGACCTCTCAGTTCCCCTCATCCCAGCAGGTCCCAAAATCAGCATCCCAGCAGGTCCAGAGCTCTTCCCACGCTGGTAAATGCACCTTTGTAGGGCACAAAGCAGCTCCAGCAAAACTCCAGCAGAGAAACTGGGGAGATTATAGCGAGGAAATGATGGAAAATGGGAGCTTGCACAACTGCCCCAGCTCCAAGCCAGGAAAAACACCCAACTTTCCCAAAAAAAAAAAAAAAAAAAAAAGGAAAAAACGTTCTGCAGGAGTTTCTCATCACTCCCTGAGGATTTGTGGGGGCTTGAGGCTCACCTTGGCTTCATGGAAAAGTTGGGGATGTAAAAAAGTATTTTTGGAAAAGCGGGAGAAGCGGAGCACGTGTGTAATTAGTGCTCTGCTGGTTCACACAGCGCTGTTCCCGTGCCAGAGCAGAAGGCTCTGATTAACAAGGTCACTTAACGAAGGAAATTGTTCATTTCAGTCCCCCCCACCACCTCCACAATCCGCAGTGCAGCACGGAATTCCCGCTGGGAATGAAACATCCCGGGGGTCCCGGGGTGGGCACAGACTGAGCAGGGAGCAAGGGCAGCACCACGATGCCACCACCCAGTTTTGGGGAGATGCAGGAGGGGAAGGGACTGTCCCAAGGTCACACGGGCAGGAATGTCCACCCCAACCCTTCAGCTGGGGAAAAGAGGGGAAAATCCCTGTTTTTTCCTAGCCAAGAGGGATTAGGAAGGAAAACTCTTGTCCAAATGGAACTTTGTGCTAATAAGAGCGAGGCCACGAGTGTTCTATTCTGCTTTTGCTGCTCCTGGAGGAATACACAATCCCTTTCTCCACCTATAAATAATAGATTTGGAAAATCTACTTTGCATTACTTCCAGCAACTACCCCCGCTTGCCCTAATGCTTCTTCCAGCATTTTTAGCACATGGGAGAGAACAAAATAACAGCTCAGGGTGGCTCTTCCCCTCCCCTCTGCCAGACCCTGGCTCCTGGGCACCAGGATGTGGCCATCCAAGTGGGGATCGATGGGATGCAGCAGCATTTCCTTAATGAAACGGAAATATCCCAACCTAGGAGGGTGCCAAGACCTTCCAGGGTTTGGCTGCCCCCGAAGGGTCCCGGATCTGCTGCCCTGGTGCCGGTGGGGATGGGAGGAGCTGCCTCATCCCGAGGTTTTCCCAGGGATGCTGGCAGCTCCCGCCGGCACCGAGGCGGCACGTCCCGGGCAGAGCCAGGAATAGCAGTGAGGTCTTAATTCCTGGCCTTGAGGAAGGGCCACATGACTCCAGTCACGCTGCTCCATTGCTGCTGTGACAGAGCCCGGGGACCTGGCCAGGCTTTAATGAAACGGGATTGGACACCTCCCGTGGGTCCCTCTCACTCCTGGGCCCACAGGATCATTCCCAGACAAAGTAAAAGATTGAGAAGTGCTCCTCTCCACGTGGGAAATGTTCTCCTTTATTCCAAGAGACACACCAGGTGGACAAACCCATGGGAGAAGGAGGGGATTCCCTGGTGGCAGGGAATTTTGTATTTGGGACAGAGGAACAGGCCCACAGCCAATGGGATACTGTGAGGAGAGGCGAGGGGAGGGGAGGGTCTCTTCACCCAGGCAGGGACCACCAGGGGGGACTGGGGTGGGTGAGGGAACCCCATGTGATGGGGAAAGGGATAACAACCCATGTTCTGGAACATAACCCATTCAGTACACCATAAAAACCACTCTGTGCAATTCCCAATCACCCAGCGCAAAAGAACAACCAAATAAACCAGTGCACCACGGCAAGGAGCAGCAGTGAGGTCTCAATTCCTGGCCCTGAGGAAGGGCCACATGACTCCAGCCACGCTGCTCCATTGCTGCTGTGACAGAGCCCGGGGACCTGGCCAGGCTTTAATGAAACGGGATTGGACACCTCCCGTGGGTCCCTCTCACTCCTGGGCTCACCTCCAGCACCCAAACCTGGCAGGGGCAGTGCCAGCAGCCAGCAGGGGCAGTGCCAGGAGCTGGCAGGTCCCTTCACCCTCCAGCAGCCGTGGGAGGGCTGGGAAGGCAGCGGGATGCCCATGGAATGAGCCCATCCCACCCCAGGGCGCTGCAGGGACCGGAGCCACCCCCGGCTGGACACCTGCAGGGAGCCGGGCACAAAGGGCACCCCTCGAGCCACCTGGGAATGCCAAACCCGGGGAGAAGAGAGAAAATCCCATCTTTCCCGAGCTCCCAGGGAAAGGGTGAGGTTTTTGCAGCGAGCTCCACGCTTGCCAGCCGATGCCTGCAGAGATTGTCTCCAGCAGCAGACACTGACACAGGCAACCTATTTCTCCCTCCAGCCTCCTGAGCTCTGCAATGCAGCTTTCTTAAATATTGAATAAGTCTGCTGCTCTCACCACCTGCCAGTGCCAATGATGAGGTAATTTTTCCATTGACAAAGCCCGATGTGATTAATCCGGGTGGAAAAATGCAGATTTTGGGCACCATTCACTCACCTGGGACACGGAGCAGCAGCCAGACCCCACCAAGCAGCCCAAGCTGCTGCCCTGGTGCCAAGTGGAGATTATTGGGTGTCATCAGCAAGCAGGAGGTTGGGAAGTGGAGTGGATCCAACCTGATTCTCTGCTGGGATGGTGGGGTTTGCATGTTGGCACCAGAGTGGGTTTGTTCTCCACAGCTGGCGCCAGGGATGGGAAATAGGGGATGAGGATGGAATTGCCTGATGGGGCTCATTTTGGGGTGGCAAGGACCCACAGAGACCCCCCAGATGAGCAGTGTGAGGAGCAAATGCCAAAGCTGGGATGAGCCAGGGTGGAATTGTCTCCTCACCACTCAGGGCACACATCCCAAACCACCAAATTTGGTTGGAAACCCCTCCTGGGGACGTTTCCAGCCATCTCCCAAGTCCACCAGCAGCAGATCCTGCCCTGCTCCTTGCCTGGCACCCAGGAAGGGCTGAAAAGCACAGGGAGTTCCAAATCCTGCCCAGACACCTGGCAGAGACACCACACCCCACATCCAGGCTGGTCCCTTCCCAGGAAAAGGACTCTGCCCACTGCACACCCCACACCACTCCCTGTGGAGCACTCTCATGGCTGCAGGGAGAGGCAGCAGGTCCTCAGTGTCCTCTGGCTCCAGGCAGGATTTGGTACTGCTGGATTTACCTGCAGAAGGGGGAAAAGGGAAAATATCCCCCAAAACACCGGCAGGAGCAGCGGCAGGAGCAGCGATGGAACACTGCAAGGTGATCAGCAGGCGACAGGGAGGGGCAGGAGGACAGCCCAGCCCCGGAGGGTCCCACACACCCAAACTCCCTCCAGGCCCAAAATTCCAGCATTTGTCTCATCCCACGTGGAATTCCTTTAGAAAGTTCGGGCAAAATTGGGCAAGCTGCCCGAGGGATGGTGCTGGGGGAGCAGCCCCAGGCTCTCCTGTCAAAGCAGGAGGGAGGGAGGCAGAGCTCAGCTGGGGCTGGAGCTCCTCCAGGACACCTGGGCAAGGGACAGGACAGCCCCAGAGGTGTCACCCCAGGTGACACAGCCACGGCTGTGTGCTCCCACATCCTCCAACAGCCACGGTGTGGGATCAGACCCTCGACTGCCCCACGGGAGCTGAGGGTCCCTGGGGATGCAGCTTTTGGGAAGGACCCAGAGTCACATCCCTGGGGTCACCTCCTCCTTCAGCTCCACACCAAACCCTCGCAGGGAGCAGCAGCCCCACAACTTCCCTGCTCAGTGTGGTGCTAATTAGTTAATTAAAGCTCAGTGTGACGGCCACAGCCCACAGATGACAGCGACAGGAAAAGCAAAGCGATGCCTCCAGTGCCCTCCAGTTGAATCCACACCACAGCCACTGGGAGTCTTTGGGAACACCAACTCCTTTTGGCTTGGTAATGGCACTTCTGCCTTTAAATTCCCACAAGGTGCTGAGAGCTGCCTTCATTCCACTCCCCCTGAATTCCCAGCCCCCCGTCATCCTCCAGACGAAGCTGCGTCCCAAGGCAGCTGAGCAGCACTCAGTCAATTTTATTTAAGCAGCACGTTGACATTTCCTCCAGCAGCTCCCTCTCAAGCCAAACACCGTTAGGGTGCTGTCACAAGGATTTACTCCCCTTGATTAATTACAGGAAAGACAACGGCCAAAAAAATTAAATAAACAACCACTCCTGGGTGTATCCAGCTGTGCCCCGGGGGCAGATCCAGGTGAGGTCTGAGCCCACCCCGGCGCTGCCATCGCTCCTCAGGAGCTGCTTAGCAACGGGAAGATCCCTGCACGGCTCGGGCACATGGCACCCTCGATGCCAGGGACAGAGAGCGTGGCCGGAGCCACCAGAATTCCAGCAGGGACCCTCGAACAGGGACAGCGGGAGGGGCGGCCCCGGGAAAGGCTGGGAAGCGCCGGCCGGGGGAGCTCGGTGGTGGCAGGTCCTGCTGGCTGCCAGGGGAGGGTGACAGTCCCCACGAGGTGCCCCAGGGGTGGCGGAGGGCTGTGGTGTCACCCACAGGACAGCGGGGGTGGCGTCCCCAGGCTGGGGCAGAGGAGCCAAGAGGGGCTGTGGGGACTGTCAGCATCCCCGAGGGCAGGAGGAGCAGGCAGCCACCAGCCCAGGGTCTGCACCAGCCTGGCACGCCCTGGGCTCCCGGTTTTCCCCGTTCTCTCCTCCCCGCATCCCCTCCGTACCTGGTTTCGCGGAGCCAGACCCGGAGCGCTGCATCCAAACCTGCCAGGGCTGGAGAAGGGAATCGCTGCCCCCACCGGGGAACCTTTTATCAACCAGCGCGGCCTCACCCGCAGCCACTCCCCGGCCTGAGGAAGGCGGGGGAATTCATCAGCCCGGCCTGGGGAAGCGGAGCCCCCTCCCTCCATCCCTCTATCCTTCTCTCCATCCCTCCCTCCATCCCTCTCTCCATCCCTCCATCCCTCCCCTCCCAGCCCTTGCGGGCTCGGCTGGGACCACCTGGAGCGGTTCATTACTCTCAGCGCTAATTAGCAGCGACTGCAGTGACAGCGTCACCGGGCTGCGGGCGGCAGCGGGGCACCGAGCCGGGGCCACCAGCGAGCTGGCCCAGGGGTCACCGCTGCTGCCACCACCGTTGGCACCCCCGCCACAAGTCCCTCCGAACTCGCAGCAGTTTTCCAGCAGCTGGGAATGCTCCACCCCGCGCAGAGCCCCGCAGTGGGCTCCGGGCTGTCACCCTCGCTGACAAAGGGGGATCCACACCAAAAAACGCCTTTGGCAGAGGCGGGCAGGGCGACGGGAATGAGAAGGAGCAGGGAGAGGAGCTGGAGCCGGCTCCGGGCAGGGGACGGGGTTTGTAGGCGAGCAGGAATAGCGGGGCTGGCATTCCTGGGTTCCCACCCTGCAGGTGACGGCCGGCAGCGCCCAGCGCATCGCCCGGCGGTGCCACAGCGCTGCCCGAGGCTGCTGAGGAGCTGCCCTGCCGCGGGATGCGACAGCGACACCGGGGCCGCCAGTGGGGCTGAGCCCGGGGCTCCGGGATGGGCTCCGGGGCTCTGGGATGGGCTCCAGGGCTCCGGGATGAGCCCGGGGCTCTGGGATGGGCACCGGGATGAATCCCGGGGCTCCGGGATGAGCCCCAGATCTCCAGGATGAGCCCCACGGCTACGGAATGAGCCCCACAGCTCTGGGATCAGCCCCACAGCTCTGGGATCAGCCCCAGGGCTCCGGGCTGAGCCCTCCCCACGGAACCCCCGAGGCAGGTCTGAGTCAGCCCTCCAGCAGCAGCAGCAGCTCGCAGCTCGCTCAATCGCTCCCGGATGAATGATGCATCATCAAATAGAGCCCAGTGTCACAACATTAACAATATTTATTTTCAGGCTAAGCTGCAGCCTGGGCTTTTGATACCAGTAATTAAAGCAAATGGTTCATCTGTTCTCATCTCTGCATCCCCGGAGCCAACTGGCCGTGTTTGGAGCCCTTATCTCGTTTTTTTTTGTTTTGGTTTTTTTTTTTTTTTTTTTTTGGTTTTTTTTCTTGCAGCCTCATGGGGAGGGGGGATCAGGCTGACCCACACACACCCCCAGGATCCCGGGAGCAGCGTGGCATGGCCCGAGCCCAGAGCAGAGGCACGGCCGGGGCAGCTGCCTGTGCTCAGAGCAGGGAAATGAAGGAGCGCTCATCACCACACAAAGACAAATCGCTGCTCCAGCTTATAACCAGAGTTATTAGAAAGACACCAGCAAGAACAGATTCAGGTGCCTTTTCTGGAAGAACCCAGCCCTGGGAGCGACAGCTTCCAGCAGCCTCATTGCCGAGGTGGTTTTGCCTCCTGGAGGCTCCAGGCTACTCCAGAAAGGTTTTGGAGCCGTTTCCATCGCTTTGGTCCCTGCTGGGAAAGGAGCAGCGCTGCCAGAGCCCGCGGGCCGCCCCGGCCGGGCAGCGATGCCCTTGCAGAGCCCCAGCAGGGAGCAGAGCACCCCAAAATGTCCCAGCAGCAGGGTCAGGGCTCTCCCCACATCCCCCCGCTGCCAGGATTCTGGGAAGAGGCTCAGCCTTGGTGCCACCGCAGCTCCCACCGGGGACGGGGTAAAAAGCCAATTTTGGGGGGTTCAACCCCCGCAAATGCCCAACACGCTTCAAAGTTGTCCCACACGGCCGGGACGAGCGGCAGCACCCAGAGCCCCGCAGCCACGGGCGCTGCCAGCCCCACGCCCCGCCGGGGACCCGCTGCCACCCACGGGCGACACCGCGGCGTGCGGGTGTCACCCTCCGGGTGCCGCAACTTTCCCCGGGGTGCGGGGGCGAGGAGCAGCCCCGGAGAGCATCCCGACCCCCAGAGCCGCATCCCCATCCCCATCCCGGTCCCTGCGGAGCCCGCGGCGCTCCTGATCCATCCCCGCTGCCGCGCCGGGGGACCCCTGGTCCCCCCTTACCTGGGCCGGGGTCCCGGGTTCGGGGGTCCCGGGCTCCGGGGCCGCTCCCCGCGCACGGCCGCGCTGCGCGGCTCCGGCGGCGGCACTGCGGACGGCGAGGGGAGGGGACACGGGAGGGGACACGGGAGGGGACACGGGAGGGGACACGGGAGGGGACACGCCCCGAGGAGCCGCCCCCCTCTGGCGCTGCCCCGGCCGGGGGGACAGCGGGACCCGGGCGCTCGTCCTCTCCTGCAGCCCGTCCCCTCTCCGTGTTTCTTCTGCTCCCCAGCCCTCTGCCACCCTCATCTTCCATCCCCCTTTCATCCCATCCCATCCCAGGTGAGACCCCCCCTGCAGAGCCGCCCCCAGCTCAGGGAGCCCCTGGAGCTGCTGGGGCGGATCCAGAGGGACACAAGGAGGCTCCCAAGGATGGAGCCAGGCTGGGAATGTTCACCTGGAGAAGGGAAGGCTCCAGGGACAGCTCAGAGCCTCTCCCAGGGCCTAAAGGGGATCCAGGAGAGCTGGAGAGGGACTGGGGACAAGGGATGGGGGGACAGGACACAGGGAATGGCTCCCACTGGCACAGGGTGGGGATGGATGGGGTATTGGGAAGGAATTCCTCCTGATGAGGGTGGTGGTGCCCAGAGCAGCTGTGGCTGCCCCTGGATCCCTGGCAGTGTCCAGGCCAGGTTGGATGGGGCTTGGAGCAGCCTGGGATGGTGAACAGTGTCCCTGCCCATGGAAAGGGTGGATTGGGATGGGCTTTAAGATCCCACACCCTCCTCACCTGCAGCATCCCCCAAAAGCCGTGGGAGCTGCTGCCCCCCCCAGATTCCTGCAGATCCCAGAGCCTGGCAGCCCTTCCCAAGCCAGGACCTCGCTGCCTCAGCCCTGGAGGAGCAAAGTTCCTCACTCCTCCAGCTGGATTTCACCACTTCCCCACAACATTTTCTTCCCCAGCTGCAGGTAAACCCCTCCATGAAAACCCTGCCCGGGGGGATGGAAACAGAAATCCCTGAAGGATGGAGCTCTTCCCTGCCTTCAGCCAGGCAAGAATTGCAGCACCGAGGGCTGGGTGTTGATTGGCACCAGCTGCAGCCTTGATGGACATTTTCTCCTCTTCCAGGCCCAACTCTGTGTTTTTATTTAGCAAAAGAATTGCCTCACTTATGCAAAATACTTGGGGAGAGCAGCGCAGGCACTTTCAAGCTGATCTGTCTTGACACCTTCCTTGGAGATTCACAAAAAGCAGCAGCAATTTGAAAATCAGATCTAAAAGTGGCTTTCCAGAAAGGAAACAAAGCAACACCTGCTTTTCTTGTCTGTTCTAAATCCCTGGCACTTCCACTCTCCTTTTTTTAGCCTCTCTTCAGAAATAAAAAGAGCCAGTTGGAATTTTTTTTGTGGAATTGGAAGTACAGTTTGGCAGTCTGGCAGATCCTCCAGTGGATCAAAGCAGGGAGGGCTATATATTTATTTATGTATTCATTTTTATACTCATTCATACATTCATTTATTTATTTATTCATACATTCATTTTTACATTTATGTATATACACATCTATATCTATTTATATATTTACATATATTTTATATATTTATTTTATATTCATTTTTATATTTTTTTAATTTATACATTAATTTATATTGTTCTTTTTATAGTAATTTATATATTTAATTGTATATTCATTGAAGGATGAAAAGAGTTCCAGTGGCAATGGATAAATTCTCAGAGTTTTGGCACACAAAAACTCTGGATAACTCTGCTGTCACCAATTGCAATACAGGAAAAATAAATCAGGAGCAGGTCAGGCCCTCCCTGAGCAGCTCCAGCGAGTTAAATTCAAAGGACTGGTGGCAGCTCAGGCACCCAGGGCAGCGTTTTTCACTGAGCTGCTTCCCCCCGAGCTGGCCTGGCCACAGATCCCCATGGATCTGCCTCCAGGACCTCCCTGGAATGTGACAGGGACTTCAACTCATCCTTGGCACGTGCTGCCCATCACTCCCACCGAGGGCTTAGGAGGCATTTCCTTCTTGGAAACACAAGAAAGGTGGGAAAGGATCCATAATCCAGCACCCCAAATCCACCCCCAGGCTCCCAGGGCAGCTCCTCGCTGGGAAAAGATGGGGAGGAGAAAAGAGCAGGAGGAGAATGGAGGAGGAGGGACGGGAGCTGAATCCAGAGAGGTTGTCCCAGAACTTTGGGAACCACAGAGTTTCCATCTCCTTTTTCCAGGAGAGAAAACCCCAAGCCAAGGTTTAGGCTGGAGCAGGAGAAAAACACCCCTGGGATTCTCCCTCGGGACCTCTGAGGGACACAGCTGGATCCCACTCCTTCCTCAGCACCTCCAACCCCTCCAGCCCAGCCTCAGAAAACACCAAACCCAAGCCAGAGGAGCCATCCTTGATTCATCCCCCCGGTGAAAGTGCTGGGATAAAAAAAACAAACCATGAAAAAAGAAGAAGAAAGGAATTTCCCCCCTTGTCCCTCGGTCCCAGCTGCTCCCAGGGCTGGGGAAGGGATTTTCCCCCCTGGAGAAGCCGAGGAGGAGCAGCCCCTGGGAGGGTTCCGGGATGGTTCTCAGCACCCCCCGTGCCTCCCCCCAGTCCTGGATTACAATCCAGAATAACGAGTGTTTGCATTTTTGATGTTTCTGAAATGTTCTGATGTTTCTGTTTGCATTTTTGATGTTTCTGAAATGTTCTGATGTTTCTGTTTGCATTTCTGATGTTTCTGAAATGAAATATTTAAGAACATGTAGTGTTTGGGAAGGAGGGATCCGAGATATATTTTTTGTTCCAGTTGAATTTCTTGTTGTGATATATATACTCTCTGTGTTATTTTCCAATAGAAAGATCTCTTCAATTTTTTTTAAAGTCTGTGCTTTGAACTATTCCAAATAAATTGGCACCCCAGGGGTGCCAGGGATCTCCACCATCCCACCCTGGTGCAAATTCCCCTTCCCAGGCACTTCCCACCTCACCCCAAAGCTGAGAAACCCCCAGGGACCCCAAACCCCTCGGCAGCACCCCCGTGTCCCCTCCCCGTGGGGGCACAGGCAGGATGTGGCAGAGCCCCGAGCTCGGCGGGCCCAGCTCGTTGTGTCTGCAGCTCATTACAGCCTTTTAATGAGATCTGGGCTGGTTTTACATCCATTTCCCACTCCTGATAAGGCCCTGTCCTACAAAACCGCGCTGCTCTCCCTGCCGAGGTGAGGGGAGGAATACATTCCCTGACAGCCTGCCTGCATTAATTTTGCAGTGAGCGCCATCAAAGATTGAATCTCCAGCTCCTCTTTTGTTAATGGGATTAGGAGAACTTATTTACTGATTTAATTAATTGGCCTGTCTTGCACTCAGCTGAAGGCAGCAGCCCAGAACCTTCCCGGGCTGGGGCTGAGGAGAGCTGGGCGTTGTTTCATTTCAGAGGCTGCCAGGAGCACGTACCTGTGAGCTTTAAATAATTGAAATTCCTCCTGACAGCGCACTAAAAGGAGGGGAGGAAGGAGCTTTCTCTTCAGCTCCATCTCCCCTCCCACCCCTCAACGAGGAGCATCAGCTTTGCCAAACCTCTGCTGAAATATCCCACGGATATATTCCATATATTCCAGAAGGAGGGACCCCCCGAGCTGCTCCTGCTGCATCCTTTCCAAACACGGGGATTTATCCATTTAAACGCCTCTTATCCCCCTGAAACCCGCAGGGATGGGGCTGGGAGGGTCCTGAGCTGCAAGCCTGGGGCTGGGGGAGCAGCACCCCAACACCTCTCCATGGTTTAATTTGGGGGAGCAGCACCCCTGACGCCTCTCCACAGTTTTATTTGGGGGAGCAGCACCCCAAACCCCTCTCCATGGTTTAATTTGGAGGAGCAGCACCCCAACACCTCTCTCGTGGCTTTATTTAGGGGAGCAGCACCCCTGACGCCTCTCCATGGTTTTACTTGGAGGAGCAGCACTCCAAACACCTCTCCACGATTTAATTTGGGGGAGCAGCAACCCGACACCTCTGCATGATTTAATTTGTGGGAACAGCACCCCCGATACCTCTGCATGATTTTATTTATGGGAGCAGCACCCCCGACATCTCTCCATGGTTTTACTTGGAGGAGCAGCACCCCAACACCTCTCCATGGTTTAATTTGGGGGAACAGCACCCCGACACCTCTCCATGATTTTATTTATGGGAGCAGCACCCCCGACATCTCTCCATGGTTTTACTTGGAGGAGCAGCACCCCAAACCCCTCTCCATGGTTTAATTTGGGGGAACAGCACCCCGACACCTCTCCATGATTTTATTTATGGGAGCAGCACCCCCGACATCTCTCCATGGTTTTACTTGGAGGAGCAGCACCCCAAACCCCTCTCCATGGTTTAATTTGGGGGAACAGCACCCCGACACCTCTCCATGATTTTATTTATGGGAGCAGCACCCCCGACATCTCTCCATGGTTTTACTTGGAGGAGCAGCACCCCAAACCCCTCTCCATGGTTTAATTTGGGGGAACAGCACCCCGACACCTCTCCATGATTTTATTTATGGGAGCAGCACCCCCGACATCTCTCCATGGTTTTACTTGGAGGAGCAGCACCCCAAACCCCTCTCCATGGTTTAATTTGGGGGAACAGCACCCCGACACCTCTCCATGATTTTATTTATGGGAGCAGCACCCCCGACATCTCTCCATGGTTTTACTTGGAGGAGCAGCACCCCAAACCCCTCTCCATGGTTTAATTTGGGGGAACAGCACCCCGACACCTCTCCATGATTTTATTTATGGGAGCAGCACCCCCGACATCTCTCCATGGTTTTACTTGGAGGAGCAGCACCCCAAACCCCTCTCCATGGTTTAATTTGGGGGAACAGCACCCCGACACCTCTCCATGATTTTATTTATGGGAGCAGCACCCCCGACATCTCTCCATGGTTTTACTTGGAGGAGCAGCACCCCAAACCCCTCTCCATGGTTTAATTTGGGGGAACAGCACCCCGACACCTCTCCATGATTTTATTTATGGGAGCAGCACCCCCGACATCTCTCCATGGTTTTACTTGGAGGAGCAGCACCCCAAACCCCTCTCCATGGTTTAATTTGGGGGAAC